TCTCAATCCCCTCCCCCTGGCACTTAGCAGCCATTATCGGGGGAGCAGATTGCAGCCCCCTCCCCCTCTCCGGGAAGCAGGCACAGCTGGGGCCCCGCCACATCTGCTGCATCCGCACGGAGCACAGCTGGGTGTGCCCAGAGCTGCACTCCCCAAAACACAAAGGGGGGAAAGGGGTGGGCGGGGCCAAGGAGAACCCAAAGCCCTGAGACAGACACACTGACACCTCTGCCAACAGACACATACTCCTTGAGGCGAAGCTACACCCACCGACACACGCTCCCTTGTGTGCAGAGACAGGAGAACTGGCAAACATGCAATTACCCGGCCCCGCCCGCCACCCCCGCTCCCCTCCCCCAGCCCTTCCTGCTCCCCTTCCTTCCCCAAGGCTCCCCTCTGCCGCCATGGCCACCTCTGAACTGCCCTGGGCTCTGGTCTGGAGGGAGTGGGGGGCCTCACCCACCCCAAGTACATCCTGGGAGGCTCAGAGAGCAGGAGGGCGGGGGGCGGTGAGGGGTGTTAGAGTTTGAGGCATGATCCCTAGGAAGCCATCTGCCCTCCTTCCAAGCCCACACCCCTCCCCATGAAGAAGCCCCCTCTGAAACTGATCTTTGCCACAGCCTGGGCACTACAAGGTTTCGGTGCCAGCACTGATCGCTGCAGCACCCTTGTGCTCCACTGGCCACCTCAAGGGGGTGCTGTGTGTTCTCAGTCTAGCCTTCAGCTCAGCTGCTAGGGTTGGCCCCTGTCACTGCCCTCACCCCAAAATCCACCCCCAGTTCTCGACCCTTGGTAGTGCGTCTCTCTGCTGCCCCCGACATGCATGGGGTGTAGTGGAGGAGGGGCTCCGTCAGTGGCAGAAAGGTCCCCTTCTCCCAAGACAGAGGAGAGAAGGATCAGGAATTCCTTCTCTCCTCTCCCCGTCGATGACTGCCTCTTGGCCCCTGATGAAACCCTGCCACCTTCACAGCCCTCACTTTTCCCACTTATCTCCTTGGCCCTAGTGTCTTGCCCTCAACCTTCTCCTCCTTGCCCCCCCATCCCACGCCGCTCCCCACATTCCCCTCTGAGCTCTAATCCCTCCTGCTGCTGTGCTGCCTTATCTGCTCCCAGCAGCTTTCACTGCTGCAAAGCCCTCTCCCCCTCCTTCCTGGATCTTCTCCCCCTCCTTCCTTGGCTCTCTCCGCTCTCTGACCAGCACCCCCTCCCGGCCAGCCTGTCTCTGCCACTCAGGCCCCCCGCTGTGGCTACCGGCTGACACCGCCTCTCTACCCCATACCCTTTGCCCTCCGCAGCCTCAGCTCTGAGGCTGTCAGCTGCACACCCACTCCCACGATGGCTGTGTCCATCCCAGCCCTCCCCTGCAGGCCCCACGGACTTTGTTAGTTTCTGGCCAGCCAGGATTTTTCATCTTCCTGCCCTCCCTTTCCTGGTGTCTTCCCCACTTCCTCCTGATGCCCCCATCTGGTCTTGGACCTGATGTCCTTATAGTCCCAGGGACCCGTTGCCTCGGCTTGGGAGTACCTGAAAGGAGATGGGAAGTGTTGGTATGAGACTCGGGAGAAGGTGCTGGGCTGGGCTGGCCCTAGGAAGATGGGGTGGGGGTGCAGGGAGTACTGGCGGACAGTGGGGGCAGGGCCTGGTGGCGGGACGCTAACCCTCTTCAGTCGCCTCAGATCACGTTCGGGCCTCCCCACCCCCCTTCGCTGGGACTCTCATTAACCGCTTCTCCTGCCTCGTCCACGGCATAAATAACCCAGATAAATCAGCCGCCGTCCGCCCCCCGCCCCTCGGCCCCCGCACAGCCCGTTTGTCACTGCTGTGTGCTCACCAGCCAGGCCTGGCCCAGCCCCGGCCCCAGCCCCCCATTCCTGGTCCCTTCCCGCCCACATCTGTCCCACACTGGCTCACCACTTGGTCCGCACCAGGGCCAGGTGTCTGGGCTGGGGAGGGTGTCGTCTGCGCGCAGGGGGAGGCTGGGCACCTTTTGGAGAAAGCTGTCTAGGAATTCGGGGGGTCATAGCATTTATGAATGGGGCCAGCCAGGCAAGGAATCTGGGTATCAGTTTGAGGGTTCCTGTGCTTTGAGAAAGCGCCCTTGGAACCCCCCAAGTTGGATCCTGGGAGGTCTCTGGGTCTGCCTTTGGGGCATTTTGCCCAAACAAAATCTCCATGCTTCCTCCCAGGAACCTTGAGCCAGAAACCCAGTGCTCTCCCTGTCTCTCTCCCGCTCTGCACGCGCCCCCCACCTGGCCCCGTTACCAAACCTCATCCCAGTCCAACTACCACTCATTCTCACTGTCAGGAAGCTCATCCCCTGGGGGGCAGAGGCGGGTGAACTGGACTGGGAATAAATCTGAGGAATGGGGACAACCGGAGAGCAGAGGAACCTGGGATGAGGCTTCACATTCTGACCCCGCAACACCCAGCTCCCCCGCACTCCCAGTCCAGGGTCCCTAACAGCCCCGCCCCCTTTGCTCACACCCAGCTAAGGGCCTGGCCAGCCACACTTGTCCCTGATGCCTCACTGCAAGGGGCAGCTGGTCCCCCGGGAGTGGGTGGGGGAAGCAGGGAGGGGTGGGGGAGCTTGGGCGCAGGGCTGGGGTGGGGGTGGGGAAGAAGCTGGGCCGGGCCCCAGGGACCAGCTGGGCAATGAGCCGGGGAAGCAGCCGGGAGGCTAAATGAGGGAGATTATCACCCAACTGCAGCCGGGCAGAGAGGGAGGCAGGCAGGGAAGCGGGGAGAGGGAGGAGAGAGGGGACGGGGCCAGAGGCGAAGAGGGTATAGAGAGACAGGGAGGGGGCCAGAGGGCCTGGTGAGAAGTAAAGGGAAAGGTCAAGAGATGAGCTGGAAGGATGGGGGCACTCCCCCAGAACATCACCAGATTCCTGGAGATCTGGGAGACTGGAGCTGGGGGCTTGGGGACAATTGGAGACAGCTGGCTGTGGGGCAGTGGTGGGGGTGTGCATGCAGCTAATTGCTGCTCCACTTCCTGGCAGCCTGGAGCTCCCCTCACAGCACCCCCCACATGCCCCTTATACCCAGTTACCACCCGATTTATTTCCTTATAGAGGTTGAAGGCGTCCTGCCATCCCTCAGGAGGAAGGAGGGTGTGATTTGTCTCATGGTGGAGGCCAGTATGTTGTCGAAGAAGTGTGACCCCAAGATCTCAATGGATGGTGGGGGAGTTCAGAGACACGTATGCACTTTCGGGTAGTAACGAGTGCTGGGGAGAGTTTGGGGGGCAGTTCCCCGCTTTCTTGGCAGGGCCCCAGACTGAAGTAACCTTAAAAAGCAATTAAGTCACCTTTAAAAAAAAAAAACAGTAAAGAAAAATCAATATTAGGAGAAAGAGGAAGAGAGAGAAGGATGGGGAGGAACAGTGCGGGGGAGCTCTGGAAAGGTCTGGAAGTCTACCAGAAAGGGGAGAGCATAGGAGGGGGCTGCCTGGGCATGGGACAGAGAGAGGGGGCGGTCTGTGGTCACTTGGCCACTTTCAGTGCTAACTCAGCGGCTTCGTCCAATGCCAATCCCACTTTCCCTTCTGGGACACTATGTCCCAGCCAGATGCAGCACCCTGCCCCAGGGGTCTTATCTTCCCAGCTTGGGGAACCAGCTGACCCAGACTCATCGGAGGCTTGTGGGGAAGCCCAGCTGTGGGGTCCCTGGGGAAGCCACTTTGCCTAAAGGCTAGGGACAACCTAGGCAGGGCACCGTGCGTGGCCAGGGCTGGGTGTGTGGGCAGGCTCCATGCTGGGGTGACCCTGATGGGTCCTGACCTGGCCTTGCAGCCAGGGTGGGCAAAGTGGCTCCTGGCCGCCAAGGGAGCCATCCCTGGACCCCTCCCCTGGGGCCAGGCAGAGGCTGCAGGGCCAGGCCTGACGCAGGGGGCGGGGTGGCCGTTGGGCCGCGGGTGGACCTCGGGCTCTAATCCCCAGCAGCTGCCGTTTCCCTCAGATCGATTCCCTTCTCACTTTTTTTTCAGCTGCTGGTTCCGCGGCTTGGATCGATGGAGCCACCTCCCCCCGCCCGTCCATGCTTCCTCTCCCTGCTGCTCATTAGCGCCCAGATTAATCAGCCCCCCTTTCCTCCCCTGTGAGGGCACATGCTCTCACATGGGGACCCAGAGCACAAACACTGATTCTTGCCACCCCCACCCTGGGGGCACGGATGCATCCCCTACTGGCCAGTCAACTGAGGCTCCCACCCCCGCCTATGATGATGGCCCACATGGCTGTTCCCCTCCACAAGAACACAGCAGACCCGTTAGGGCTCTCCTGCCCCACTCTGCCAGGCACCCCTCAAACCCGTTTACTTAGGAGAGAGCATTTGCTCCCATTGACACCCAGCACATCTTCCTGCTCCCTTCCATGCCCCGGGGCTCTTCCTCTCCCTTCATTGCATGCCCTGTGCCCCTACATATAGAGCACCCCTGAAACATACCTCCCCTTTGCTCCCTGGCTTGCTTACCCAACACCCCTCCCCTGAAGCCTGATTGTGTGTGTGTGGCAAGCGATTTGGGGAACATTTGGGGAAGCAAAGTGGCCACAGATATGCAAGCTGGCCAGGGTTCTCTCTGTCCCAGACATATAAATGACTGAGATTGGGGTTGGGGGCAAAATGAGGGTGAGGGTAGCCAGCTTCCCAGAAGGGGCAGGGGCTGGTGGGTGTTGAAATCAGGAGCAAAGCTCCAGGGAAGCTGAGAATCTTGGAGTCACAGTTGTCCCCTGGTCTGTCTAGCCTGCCCTCCTCTGCCCCCCTCCCCTCCCTCATTCAAACAAGTGGCTCTCTCAAGGAGTTTCTGGAAGCTGCTGTGAGTCGGGTAGTGGGATCAGGTGGTGACTGGGTGCTGGAGTCAGGAGTCTCGGAGGCCAGGAGGTGGGGGGATAGAGTTGGCTGACCCTTCATGGGGTGTGGGCCAGGAAAGTGGCAAAGAATGAGCTGAGGACCCTGGGCACGGCACCCTTCCCCGGGTGGCCAGGGAGTGGGGAGATCTGGGGACCCAGTGAGCGGCTAGGGTGCAGCAGGAGTTTGGGGGATAGCCCCAGTCTCGGGATCTCTGTCCTGGGCTGGGGACTACCCCCTCCCCTGGCCTGGCTCCTGACGCCCGTGCTGCCGGTGAAACGCTGTTGACATGTCCTGAATTATTAAGCACGGGGTGGGCTCCGGAGCACATGCTGAGTGGAGCGGCTGGGGCTGCGCGGCGTGGCGGAGCAGCGCTCGCTCCCTCGCTCACTCGCTCGCTCGCTCGCAGGGACACACGCAGGGGCTGACAGCTGTGCTGGTGCTGATAAGGGAAGCCACAAGGAGACGATCGAGGAGAGAGACAAGCGGCAGCAGAGGCAGCAGCGGCAGAGGCAGCACCAGGGCTGCGGAGCTGCTGGGAGTGGGAGTGACTCCCCCACCTCGGGCCCCCACCCTGTCCCTGTCCTCCTCCCGCTTGCCCTGAGTTTAGAAGAGCAGCCGCTGCCACTACTGCCACTCGGGAGGGCACCAGGGCTGCTGGCTAGGGAGGGACAGGGCAGGGAGGCTCTGGCCAGTCCCAGCAGCCGGGGACAGATGCCGATCGAGATTGTGTGCAAAATCAAATTTGCTGAGGAGGATGCGAAACCCAAGGAGAAGGAGGCAGGGGATGAGCAGAGCCTCCTCGGGGCTGCTCGGGGGGCAGCAGCCCCCCGGGACCTGGCCACCTTTGCCAGCACCAGCACCCTGCATGGACTGGGCCGGGCCTGTGGTCCAGGCCCCCACGGACTACGCAGAACCCTGTGGGCACTGGCCCTACTCACCTCGCTGGCTGCCTTCCTGTACCAGGCGGCTGGCCTGGCCCGGGGCTACCTGACCCGGCCTCACCTGGTGGCCATGGACCCCGCTGCCCCAGCCCCAGTGGCGGGCTTCCCGGCTGTCACCCTCTGCAATATCAACCGCTTCCGGCATTCGGCACTCAGCGATGCCGACATCTTCCACCTGGCCAATCTGACAGGGCTGCCCCCCAAAGACCGGGATGGGCACCGTGCCGCTGGCCTGCGCTACCCGGAGCCTGACATGGTAGACATCCTCAACCGCACTGGCCACCAGCTCGCCGACATGCTCAAGAGCTGCAACTTCAGTGGGCATCACTGCTCCGCCAGCAACTTCTCTGTGGTGAGTTCTGCCAGCTGGGCTGCCTGGCCTGGGGTGGCTGGAGGCTGGGGAGCGGGAAGGAGTGGTGGCAGTGGTGTGCAGGGGCATCCTCAACAGGGCTTCCCTTCCTTCCGCCACCAGAGGCTGGCCTCGTGTCTCTCCAAGCCTGGCATCTCCCTCTGGTTTCCCAGCCATGGAGCAGTGGCCGCTCATAGGGCTTACCCTGGGGCGCCTGCTGCTACTCTTCTTGTAGCACTCTTCTTGCTGCTGCTGCAGTGCCCAGGTCTGGGAGTTGGGGTGGGGGTTCCTGGGGTGGGCCCAGGTGTCCTGGAGCTGGCTGGCTTGCAGGGAAGGGACATACCATCCCAAGGCCAGACCAACTGACTCCCACTTTTCTCTTGCTCCCTTTTTCTTCCGAGGCTACTGGATTCTTCCCACCAAACGAAGGAGATGGGGAGGGGAGGTTTGGGGGGCTCCATCTAGGGAAGGACCCCAGGCGGCCTCCTGGGGAGCTGGCCTGGTGGGCAGGCTGCAGAGAGCCCGTCTTCAGGACACTAGGTGCCAGTGTCTCTTCTGGATCTCTGTGTCTCTCACATGCCCGCCTCACAGACTCCCTCACACATCCCTCTTTCATTCTGCCCTCCAGCCCTCCCGAGGGCCAGTCCCCCTCTGTCTCCTGTTATAGCGGCTCCCATGCCCAGATTTGGCTCTTACACTGGGAATCACTGGTTCACTCTTATGTGCATAACTCACCCTCACTGCTGCCCCAGCATGGGTGCATGCACACATGCACGCACACACACACACACACTGCTGGGGGACACAGTTTCCTGCACACTCCCTTGCTCACACACACTCACTGTCCCTGTCACTACACTCACATGCACACCTGCACACCCACACCCAGAGAGCTACTCATCTCCATTTCTAGCTCCCAGCTCTCGCTTAGCTGCCAAGCACAGGGTCCCACTGTGGATGCCATCCCTTCTCATGACACCCCCCCATCTATCCCAACTGCTGCTCCCCATTTGGAGACTGCTGGCGCCATCTCTCACCTATGTGTGAGCACAAACACACGCACCCTCTCCAGGAGAGGGGTGTGAGCTTGGGCTGCTCTCCCATGCACGCCTCCCACAGTCAGGTATGTGAGGGGGGTGGGCGTGTCTTGTACGCCGGCTGTCTGTCAGGGCTCCATTCACCCATAGTCACAGGGTATCTAGTATTCATGGTGCTCGAGATGCTTGTCCCCAGTCCACAGTTTGCTCCCAGCGTTGTGTGTCTGTGTGCGTGTATGTTTCATCCTTGTTACCGCTGCCCAGTGCATATGCAAATGTTTGGCGTCAACATGGTGCCCACTCCGGCCCAGCCTCCAGCAGCCAGCCCCAGTGATAGGGACCCCCACCAGGTTCTCACTCACCCGCTGCCTCAGGATCGCCAGGAAACATGCTCCAGCCAACAAGGTTCCTGGCCCCCACCATGTCTGCAGTGTCTGGGGCCTCCTGCCATTGGGCAGGGGAGTTAGGTAGAAACCGAGGGACAGGAGGGGAAACATTGTGCAGGGAGAAGAGTCAGGGGTATTGGCCTGTTGTCCGGCTGTACACCCCCTCTCCTAGGGAAAATCACTGCTCCCCAAAGCCAGGGTTGGTAGAGTCCCCGAGGAGGAGGATATGGGGTATGGAGGGTGAGTGTGGCCTTTGGGATCCACAGGACTCTGCTGTCCTCAATCCTCACCAGTCCGTACTGGGGGCTGGGCAGAGCTCAGGCTCAGCAGGTGCTGTTGGGGCAGAAATCAATGGGGTCTTTGTGTCCCTGAGCGGGAGCTGGGGGTGGGCAGGAAAGGGGAAGGGTGATGAGACCTCGGTGGGAGGAAAGGAGAGGAAGAGCTGGAGGGGGTGAGGAAGTAAGGGGAGGAAGGCAGAGGGCTCTGCTTGGTCTCCAGGCTAGGAGGCGGTGCCTGGAGGATACAGGAACAGGGATCCCCTGATCAAGGCTGGTGAGTCCCCGGAATCCTGGGGATGGCCCGGAGGAGTGTGGGTGGATTTCCCACAGGCCCTCTGGTGCCCTGGGGCTGGAGAGAGGAGGATGGTAGAAGTCTGTGGGCTGAGGTTCTGGCCCTGGTGCAGGACAGTGAGGGGTAGAGGGCATAGCAACCACTGGGGGACAGAAATTCCCCTTTGGGATTTCCATTTCCCCTGTCTCCAGCCCAGCCTCCTACCCTTCTGCACACACTGCATCCCCTGTCTACTGAGCATAACTCTCTCTTGGGTCTGGCATTCAAGGGCTGAGTCTGCTGCAGATTCACCAGGGTCTGGAATTACAGGTTGGGCAGGGGGCCCATGATCCATGGCAGTGGGGAAGATGGGGTGTATTACAGGGGAAAGGCTGGAGAAGGGGGAAGGAGATGAAGATATGGGGTCTCCAAAAAGGACATGAGGTCCATAATCAGCTCTGTGGTGAGGACCTGGAGTCAATGATGGGGATTTGGGGTCTATGGTGGGGAGATGGCTATGTGAGCTGGTTGGTGGGGAGCCTGCCGGGGTATGAGTGGTGAGATGGTCAGAGACAGGGACAGGCTTCACCAAGGGGCTGTTATGTGTTTTCTGTTGCTTTCCCTGTTTCTTCCTTCCCACTCCCCACTCTGCTGTGACCTTTCCTCCGGAATCCAAGTTAATAAATGTCACATTTTCCAGCCTATTTTTACTCCGGGTAATGTGCCCTCCCCCAGTCCCCTCTGCTGCTGCTCTTGCTTCTGTTACCACTGCAATCGCTCTCCCCCCACGCTCCCTAATATCCCTTGATGCATTTCCAATCAGTCAGTCAATCAACATGGAGTTCTGCATGCCTACTATGTGTTGGACTCCCTGCTCAGAGCTGTGGAGGAGAGCAAAGATGGGAAGCCCTGTCCCCAGTCCCTGTCCTCAAGCAGCCTATAGTCTCATGGTAGAGTGGGGACAGGGATACTCAGAAGCTTAAGCAACCATGCAAGAGTTAATCAGCCATGCAAGTGGTGTCATAAGGTGCCAGGATCAATTGCCAGACGAGGTGCATGGGTAGTAAGAGGCTGAGTTCAGAGAGGGAGAGGCCGTTCTGGGTGGAGGAGAGCTGGGAAGACCTAGGGGATGAGGCAGGCTGGGCACAGTTTGGAGAGGAGAAGAGGGAAGAGGGGAGAGAGGAGAGGGCCCTGGGAGGCAGTGCTCTGCACCATGGCTAGCTCCAGCTAGTTACCTCTGCTCCTCTCTTCTTCTCCCTCCCCTCCTCACTCAGTCTCATACCATCTCACTCCTACCCATTCTACCACCTGTATGTCCCCCACCCCCAGCCTTGTAGACAGCTCTCCCTTCCTCCCTGATTCCTGCCGCCATCTGCTACCCACACCCCCTTCCTCCAAGCCCCAGTTCTACCTTCCCCACTGCGGCCTGCTCTCAGCCTGCCCTCTTGCTAAAAGGCAGAAATCACTCTTTCTCCCCAGGCTTCATTTCTTGAGCTGTAAAATGCAAGGGTGGCTCTAAAATTCCGCATCTCCTCTCACCTGGGGACCACCAGGATTCGAACCTCGGCTCCACCCATTTAGCTGTGTGGCCGTGGGGAAGCCAAAAAGCTTCGTGAGCATCAGTTTGTGTATTCTTTAAATAGGATATTAGAACCTAAAAATTGGGGGTTGCTGTGAGGATTAAAGAGATGCTCCTAAAGAGCTTATAGCACACTACCTGGCACACACATCGTATACACTGTGTAAGCGTCAGCTGTTATAAATGCCGCCACCCCAACTCCTGGCTATCTTTAACCTGACTGTTCTCAGCACCACCTACTGGTTTCTGACCCATGTACTGGCATCTTCATTACTCTCCATTACCTAGTCATCCCCCCGCTTTTGACCCTGTGGCCCACACCCTCCTCTGCCCTGTTCTAGCATTCCCATTCTATTCAGCCCTCCAAAATATGCATGCACGTGTGCATAGGTGCAGAAGCGTGCACACACTGTCTAGATCAGTGCTGGCCAATAGAACATTCTGTGGTGATGGACGCGCTGTGCACCTATGCTTGTACAACATGGTAGTCACTAGCCACATGTGGCCGTTGAGCACTTGAAATGTGATTAGTGCAACAGAGAAAATGAATTTTTAATTCAAAGAGCCACACGTGGCTATAGGCTGCCGCGCTGGACAGCACAGCTCTGAATGGCCCCAGGAATGAGACTGTCTGGGTAGGGCAGGGCTGGGATTACAACTGGGACCACAGAATATAGGGGGTAGCTGCCGGCTGTGATTTGAAGTCATGCCGTCTACTCTGTGGGCTGCGATCTCAGATGGAGCTGAGGATAGGGTCTGTGTCTGGGGGCTGGGAGCAGTGGGGTGTCTGGAAACACCATGTGAGCAAAGGTGCCTTTCTTCCCAGGTGCAGGACATGACCTTGGTCTTTTCCATGTTACTGTCTGGAAATTTGAGGCTGGGGGAGGTGGAGAAGCCCTGTGGAGGCATGGGTAGGAGCCAGCCCCTCTCCTCAGGGTCCTCAAGGGTCCAGGCAGCCCCTGGAGGGCTAGGAGCCCGGGGCCCTGTGGGTGCCTCACTATCTCCATCCCCTCTGGGCTCTCCGGTCTCCCTCCCCCTCCCGACCCTCCTTCCCCACACGCTGGTGACTGCCGTGACTATTAATCACTCGCCCTGTTCTCTTCCTCTCTACTAATCAGGCACAATTAGACAAGGCCTCTTCCAGCTGGGCAGTCCCCCTCCCTGCCCTCCTCTCTTCTCCCTGCCCCACCCAACCACCAGCCAGGACAGCTCTGAGGCACAGAACAGCATGAAAGCCCTCTCTCTCTCTCTCTGGCTGTCACAGGACCCAGTTTCGGGCTGCTCAGCATCCACTCCTTCTGTCCCAGCGACCTCCTTAGCCCCTTCTCCTCCCAGCGTGTGGTCAGGCCAATACTGACAGTCTCTGCCTTCCACCCCCTGCCCTTGGCCCTGGGAGGAGCTACTCCACACTCCATCCCAACTCCACACCTTTGCCACTGGGTTGGAGGTTCC